TCACATTTTTTTTTAATTTTTAAAAATTACAAAAGTGAAAAAGAGTTTTTAAAACCGTCTAAGGTATGTTAAATAGATGAATAAAAATATTAATATAAAACTTACAGCTACTTGTTACAAATCCAAATCAGATTCAGAAGATGAACTTTCAGAACCAAGATTTATAATAACTGGCTCGATCATTTTATCAGTAATATTGTCCAGCTTCCACATTTTTTCCTCTTCTTTAATAGTGTGATTGACTGCCTTTTCCCAGTTTTCAGGTTTTACATTATTTACGGCCTCCAAAAACAACTGTTTAACATCATGAATTTTAAAAGTGGTATTTTTTCTTGAAACTTCACTCTTTATCTATGCCCATACCAGTTCAATCGGGTTTAATTCACAATGATATGGTGGGGATCTAAGTACTGTCATTCCACGATTTTTGGCAATTTCATCAATTTCGTATTTTTTAAATTTTTCTTTATGAAGGGCACACAACGAATAAAGTTCCTTTCTTATAGATCCGGGATGGTACGTAATATTTTTTGAACTCAGCCAATTCTGCAAGTCTTTTTTTAACCACTTGGTTGTGGGCAGTCCTTCTATAAGTCTGGAGTGATAACTTGCATTATCCATTACTATTACACAGTTCTTAGGAAGAAGATCTATCATTTGTTCGAACCATTCTTGAAAGACATCAGCGTTCATGTCTTCATGGTAGTCACCGGTACTAGCTGATTCAAAGGTTAATAAACCACCTTCAACAAAACCGTCTGAAGTGCCAATGTGTACTATTATCAGCCTGCGTCCCTTTCCTGATGGTGGGTTTAAACAAGTAGATAAGTTATTTACAAAAGCGTGCCTTTGACTTGTAACAGTTTCATCCTGCCAAAATTTATTTGGTGTATGACTCTCGTTGATCCATGTTTCATCAAGATAAAATATTTTTCTTTTTTGGTTTCTCATTTCCTTTATGGTTCTTAGAAAATGTCTTCTCCCTATGACAATATCGCTTCTTTGTAATAAAATAGACTTTCTGGGATTCTTTTTCCAGCGGAAGCCTATTTCTTTTAAAAGTTTTCATAACGTACTTCGACTCATTTCTGGGTAATCCTTATCATCTCGAACTGAGACAAGAACTTTATCCAATGTTGGAAATTCTTGTCTAAAGAAGAATTCATGCACTTTCCGTCGAAGTCCTTCTTTAAAATGATATTCTATTTGAAATTTTGGTTTCCCTGGAGCATTACGTGGCATTTGAAAACTACCACATTTCTCTTCTTTAATAACTCTGTAAATCGTAGATTTCCCAACACCAAGTGTACTGCTAACTAACTCAACGGTCTCATCAACACTTTCACATAAACGTTTGTCTGTAAATGATTTAAAACAATTAAATATTATTGTTTTTTCATTAACTGTTAAAGGACCAATTTTTCGGCGTTTACACGGCACTTTCAAATTTTCCATAACACTAGTATACACAATAAACTGCACCTTGCAACTGAAGTACCTACTTTTAGTGAACTGTTAAGAATTTTGAATACGCCACTTGGACCTTCCTACAAAATGGAAAAACCCACTATCACATTTTCTATGGAATAAGTTTAGAAGGTAATTATCTAGTCAATTACTGTCGTAGATTCCTGGAATTAAAGAATTAAATGTTTGATTGTTGAAACCCTTACTTCGTGGAATGCACTCATTTCAGATAAAATAAAACGTTTTATTTTATCTAAAGAATTAAACTTTATTTTGCAAATAGGTAGGTACTTATTAAACTTTTATTGGTTATATATAACCAATAAAATAAACATCTTACATTTCTTGCAAATTCATTAGTACCTGTTAACCTCCATCACTCCGACACTGGCAACCTTATTTAGGGATTAGTAACCCTCACAACTATTGTATTCTATTCTGCTCCAACCTTTATACCTGGTGGTCATACTCAATTTAAAATTGTTTTCCTATATACTTCTGTAAACTTGTTGACAAATATCTGTTTTTCATTGAGTCACCCGTATCAACAGTTTAGGGATTTGCATACATAATTTATTGTTTTATTACTCTCTCATACATAAAAATACACTATAGTACGTATTAATTAAATAAATAACACATTTATGTATTTCGAATATAAAAGTTGTTTTATGAACTCATAATACATGTTTCGGTCACACACGAATGGACAATAACAGGTAGGTAAGTAAAAAGAGTGTGGAAAGCTAGACCAGTAAAAAAATAGAAGAGGCAGACCGATAAAAGTGTGGAACAGCGACATAGCAGAGATATTACAAAATAAGGGCAAATCTTGGGAAGAAGCAACACAAATGGCAAATAACAGAGAAGAATGGATAAAATTCTTTAAATCACCTCATTCGACACCTAACTGTTAAATAGGAACGTTTATGTATGTATGTATGTATGTATGTATGTATGTATTGTATGTAGTTTGTACGTATGATTATAAACCCTACTTAAAAATCAATATTTAATTTCCAGTCATAAACCGATCAATATACGATTTTAGCTATTTTCACTTTTCATATTCACTTGAAATCCAGTGAATCCCTTATAGTTCAATAAATATTTTTTTCAAAATATAAATCTTATCTTATCTTTTATGGGCGTAAGTAGTATTATTAATATTATATTGTTTGTGTAATCATCAGAATCAGAAGTACTAGAACAAACGAGTAATTAGCATACAAAATGCAATAACAATTTATATGGAATTTTATTTATTCGACAGTAATGGAGATACGTTTTAATACATGTAAATAAAAAAAAAACAATACTACTGATAAATTTAATTTTAATCTTCTGACAGGTGCATTTAATTTATTATCATTATATATAGTTTGGTTGTAATTATTTTTATAATTTGATATAATGGCACATTTATAAATAAACTATTTATTACACAATTCACTAAAATATATATCTAATACCACTTCTTTTATTTCACATTAAAAAGACATCATTTTGTAGAATTTTTATAAATATCTTATTTACAAATATTAGAAAAAAATTTAAATGATTATTATCAAATCGAAGAACGATGACAAATACGTTGAAAACTAGAATAAAAATAAATGTTTCATCTATAATCGAACTGTATATATTTATTAACAAAATATTTCAATAAAACAATTGTCTAACGATGTGATTTTCTTTATTTGCAGTATTAGCAAATATGTTTATGTAAGTCTTTACAACAAATATTATTTTTAAACAAAATTGAAAACCTACACTATGATGAAGGTTTGTATGTATTTGATTTATTCTGCATAAAATGGTCTCATTGAGTTATTGGACACATTCCTAAGTTTATCAATCATAGGGAAGAATATAGCTAGAATGTCAACTCATTACCTTTTGTATATATTTTAATATCAAATAATATAGACCAACAGACATATAATTCAAATTACTTTTGACTTACAAAAAACTTATAAAATTAATTTGAATGTTAACCTTCTGACAAGTGCATTTAATTTATTATCATTCCATAGTTTGGTTCTAGATAAGTTTTTACCCCGACAAGACACTTCCAAGTAGCCACGGGACGTCCTATGCATAGATAGGTCAATAGGTCAGCGAGTGAATAAGGAGTAACCGAATACAAGTCCGCAGATCAACTGACAACATGATATAGGGTCTGAAGTCTGAAGATATTTCATTACACACATACTCACACACAATTTCTTCACCGTAGTCAATCACCAGACAACCGCACCACAACTGGCTTATTGCATGGTGGGATTTGTTCTGCGACTAATGCGCTCTTCAGTGTCTAATTGCACTATTATCGGGCTCATAGATTTCGTGACACTGTTTGTGTCGTTATGAAATGATTTTTTTTCTCCTAGAAATGTTTCCTCCTGGAAAACATAAATACGCCAGGTCTGAGTGAACATCTCTACATACATACATCAATACGTAAAAAATTCTGTGTGGCAAGCAATATTTTGTTTAGCCCACTTTTTCTCTGCTAACATAATACTTTGCGTGAAGTGCATAGTTTAAATCTTTAGAGGTAACATCTCAAATAGTGCTCTCTCAGAAGCAAGACTTTATTTCTGACATTTGTTCTCAATTTACACAAAACTTTGTGTAACGTATATCTCCTATCTTGTAGAGTTAATAGTAAAGTGCTCCATGTGATAACAATATCTTGTTTCCCAAATATTTCAAAACACAATACTTTGTGCTCTACTTAGATTTAACACTTTGTGCACTTTTGGATGCCACCACACTCGCTTTGGACTTCACCAACTCCACCTTCTGTGCTAAAACTGACTCTTTCTTTTGTGAACACGAACCATCAACACCAGAACTGTAAGTTTTCAATTTTAAGTTAAATTTATTGTTCTACCATTATTTCTAAATTTTAGCTAGAATAGGAATTTTAGAATTTATATTTAATTTTATATTTTATTTTGTATTATTTGCCATATGCCAATTATGCCATATTTGCCATTTGTTTTCACATTTACAATATACAATTTGTCCTGACTGCATTATTTTTCCCAATTATCTAGCTTTAGTGGAATTGTAGATCATTTTATTTTCTCTTTTTAGTACCTTATCTCTACAGTTTTCCATTGATGCACAACGTTGATATTTTAGTATTACCGCAAGAGTTTTCTATTTACGATCCTGCACCTGTGTTTGTACTTTTCTAATCCAAGATATTTTCAAGATCTTCGGCAACTTGTTTAACTCCTTTCTTTACAATCAGGAAAATAAAAAAACACAAAAGCAGAGAAAGCCATGACTAGAGGAATTAGAGCGACTAACAAGTTAACAAAAGAGTATCTTGAAAATTATGATATATTTTTAACAGATAAATTTTAATATCATGTGCAAATCCTTGTAATAAAAAACAAAGGATAAACTTTTTAAAATTCATAATGTATATTACTGCCATGTATGCCAACGGAGAATCCATTATCATTGTTTTGAATTATCATTGAAATATCTATTAAATAATAATAATAATAACTTACCTAAAACGGATAATGCCATAATTAGCAAGCAACTTACAACAATTTACTCTCCCTGGTTTGTATAGAATATATCTTAAAATATATAGTTGATAAACACCTAAGCTACAAATGTGGAATTAATAGTTATCTGTAACAAAAGCTACAAGTATGTCCCTCTTATATGCTATGATAAGCTGATAATAATTAAAAAGAGATGGTGAAAGTATTTTAAACATTTTAAGTGGTAATTTTGGGGAAACACAGAGTTGTTATTTGTATAATTTTTATCAATTTATGGGAAAACTTTGGACATACATGAACAATAGAAGTTTGTTATACCATTGTGACAAGACTACATTGTTTTAAATTAAGTATCAATATTACAATATTATTAGTAACTTAGTGTTTTAGACTTACTTGTACTATACAAAATTGTATAGCTAAGTTTTGTTTTTGTAGGTACCTATATTTTCTGCTACGTAATTTTAAGCAACAGTTGTTAATTTCAGTTTTAATCAACTCTAACTAAAAACACTCTCACACACGCTTAAAAACTATAGTATAAAAACATATCTAGAACGTCCAAAACATCCAGAAGCAACATATTATTCTCTCTGGCTAGGCGAAGAAATGAAGCACTTTACCTACCAATTTTCCGCAGCAAGATGAAACGATGTGAAACTTTCTGCATTTTATTCGAGTAAGTTCTAGAAAAGTTTGTGAATAATCTTCAAGGTGATAAAATGAAAATTGATTTTGGCAATAAGGAAAATGTATTTCCAAATGTAACTCCAGGAGACAAAGTCATCCTAGTCACCAGATACCTTCGAGACCATCGCCGTCATGCTCTTTGTGTGCAGCGACCTCGAAAATCTTACAAGAAATGACTTTCCACTAATTTCTAATGAAAATAACAAACAACTCGAAATTCCTCGAGTAATGACTTTCTACTGATTTCGAATAAAAATATCTTTAAACTCCAAGAGACGAGGTCTGGACATCAGGTAGCTCGAGGATCATCATCGTTATCATATTCGTGTTCAGTGATCTCGAAAACCCCCTAGTAACGACTCTAGACTGATTTAGAATGAAATTAACATACATCTGGAAATAAGATTCATCCAGGACACCAGGTCGCTCGAAGAATATGGTCGTTATCACATTCGTATTCGGAGACCTCGAAAACCTCCCGAGTAACAAAATTAAACTTATTCCTCTCGATATTTTCTGAGTTGCAAGTTTTTCATTTTCGAAGTACTTTGGAAATGCATTTTTCTTATGCACAAAATGCAATTTTCATTTTATTACCATGAATTTTGTTCACAATGTTCTTGACACTTTGCCGAATCGGATGGAAAAACTTGCAAAGCGATTCATCTTACTGCGGAAAATTTGTAGGTGTAGTACTTTTTAGTGCTTCCTTTCCTTGCCAGGGCATAGAATAAGAAAAATCAAGCAGCCTCCGCAACACATACCCCTAATAAAACACAACTCTGGACTCTTACCTAGAGATAATAAAGAAAAAATACATTTGCGCAATATATAAAAAATGTTTTTAAATATTACAGCTATTTACAATCAGATGAGTATAAGAAAATGTAAAGATTAGTCGAAACACCTCATTAGATAGATTTGCCCATTCAAAAATTTACTTTTAAAAAAATCTCTCACGTGATAATAAGTTATCATCATTATCACTGGCTCGACAACCCTTTTTGGGTCTTGACCTGTTCCAGGATTCTTCTCCATTCTGATCTGTTTTGTGCTTTTTTTCTCCAGTTTTTTTATTTTTAAGGTTGTTATATCATTTTCTACTTGTTCTAAGTATCTCAGCTTCGGTCTTCGTCTTGTTCTTTTTCCTACTAGCATCTGTTTGAATATTTTGTTTGGTATTTCGCCTTCTTCCATTCTTTCTACATGTCCCATCCAACGCAGCCGTCCTATTTTAATGAATGTTATAATATCCGGATCCTGGTATATTTTGTGATAATAAGTTATTTTGTAGTTAAACAGCATGAAGCTTGATCCGATCTATTAGAAGTTAAGGTGTGCCCCAAGGCAGCGTTATTGATCGTATTTTATATTTGTTATTTAGTGTGTAACGAATAATATTTTGCCTATCACATGGGTATTAATACAAGGGGTAGAAAATTGGGGACTGAAACTAAGGGGGTAGAGATAAGGCAAGCAAAATAATCGCTACTTATGCGAAGTGCACTCAGGGTTTGTTAGGAGAGCTGGGATCGTGGATAAGTAAAAGATAAGGGGGTGGATTGGGCAACTACAAAAATATGAAACAAAAGGTCATGAATCTCTTGGGATAAACAAACCAAAAAGAAACAGGAAACACCTCTAATAATTTAATAAATTGCACTACTTTGAGGTGCCTAATTATACCTATTACAACCACTAGTTGTAACTAGGGAAATAATTATTAAACATAAAAAACATATCTTTTTCAAATAAAACTCAAAAAAGGGGTTAGTTAAAAAATAAACAAAATGTTAAGAAAACAAAATTTAACATTTATTGTGTCTTACCACAAACAGTTACAAAACATAGAGAATACAAGAATACTCAAAAAAGACAATACAAAAATATTACCTCAATAGTCACAAAAAACAAAAAACTTACATGTCATCCATTTACAAAACTCTAGGAGTTGGAGATACTACATAAACTTACAAATGTAACCGCATAGAGATTAACCTTTTTTTTAAACAAACAAAACAAATAAATATCGAAAATAATAAATCTAGCTGTCATATGTTAACATTAAATTTTAAAAATTGAAAACAAATAAAATAACAGCTAAAGTCAAAACCCAAAATTTACAATATTTAATATTACTATTTTTTAAATTTTTATGAAAGCAATTATTATAAAAAATGTATGTCTTTAAAATTTGAGACAAAAGTTACCTTAATTCGCAAAAAGACTGCATCAAGATTTCTGTAACCATAACTGGAACTATACTGGAACTGGAGGCTTCACTCTCTCTGTAACGAACACACGAACAAATCCATCTCCAAACTGCCAAAAAGCCTTGGATGACAACCAGGGAGAAACAAAACGAGGATGGAAACGACGATTTTTCCAATCCTCACTCAAAACATTAACTGAACCAATAACTGCTACAAAACTACTTTTCACTGCTACATATTTCCATAAAAAGGGGCCAAAAACAGAAAACCACAAATTCGACGGATGAATTTGGATCGATAATTGAGCCTACAACGACCCAAGTAAGAATGACGAATTTATCTTAAAAATTCGTTCACATAACTTGAAATGAAACAAAACGCTGAAATAACAAAACACAACGAAAATTAAGACGTAAATTATTAATTTGAAAACGCAGTACTGCGGGCGGCTTAAATCAAAGAATTATCGACAGGAAAACCGCAGCCACGAAATAAATAAACAACTCTAAAATGGTTTTTATTACTTGGCAACGTACATTACATATACGAGGGGATTTCAATATACACCAAAAAAATCAGTGAATTGCAAATGCTACAAGTGTTGTCATATCAACTACCATATTAACCACAGCTGCCACATATTTTGATGACACGGCTGTTCTTGCGTAACATATAAACCCACAACGAGCTTGCAAACGAAGTAAAATCCTGCCATGTGACATTCACAATGCTACGTGAAACTTTCCCTTTAGGCTAACCGTGCACTTGCGATTTGTAGTCTCGTGATTGTTTAGTCGCGAAGATTAAACACATTGTTTCATATACAAGTCAATCAATTTGCGACTAAATAATCACAGCGATTAAGAAAACGCAGCCTGTCTTATTTTTACCGCGACGCGATAGTCGCGCTACTCAATAATTCGTGCGGACAATCATAGACATGCATGTACTTATATTTGTTTATCGCATTCAAGCAGCAAGCTGGTGTTCAACAATTTAATTTTCAATTTTTTTAAAATGCCAGACAACAAGAAATGTGTTGGAAATGTTGAAAGCATTTTAAGTACTATTGATTTAGAGCAGTTGATTCATCAAAACGACTTTTTGACATACTGTAGAATTGAAAAAAATTTGCAGGATGCTCACATAAATCTTAAAATAACATGTAAAACTGTCCTTTAAAAAATCTTTGATTTGTAAACGGATAAATCCAATAACCATGTTTTCGTCGTTTACTTTTCGACCGAAGCAAAAAAAAACGATCACACGATCGTTTTTTTGATCGAACTAAAGATTGATGTAATTTAGCGATTTATAAATCGCAGTAGAGGCACCCTCTTGTTTTCTTCTTTTTCTTCTTCTTCTTATAGTGCCGTACACCTATAGTGCGTTGGCGAATTATCTTAAGGCCAGAGGTCTGTCTTTTGCGGCATGCAAAAGATCGCCAGTATTATTTATGCCTGTCCAGTTTTTTATGTTCCGTAGCCACCACATTTGTTTGCAACCTTTTTTTCTACAACAGCAATTTTTTTTCGCTGCGATTAAAAATCGCAAGTAGAGGGCTAGCCTTGTATGTCTGTATAGCACTAACAGACCTTTTAGGCGCATTGCTGATAGATAATTTCCATCCTTTTCTGTTCTTAGCTGTCAGCTTCAAATCTCTGATTTTCATCTCTCTGGCATCTTCCATCACTACATCTCTTCATTTCTTTCTTGGTCGTCCTTTTTTTGCTCTTAGGTACTCTCCAACCAATATTCTTGACTTGTCTATAACCTTGCATTCTTTCTATATATTCGAACCATTCTAGTCTATGTGTTTTCACTACTTTTGTTATTGTAGAGTTAGCATACAATTGATACACTTCTACATTAGTTCATCTTTTACATTCTCCCTCCACTAGTTTTCCACCAAACATTCTGCGAAGTATCTTTCCTTTCCATGCTTTCAATCTGATCTGTATGGATTTATTTATAGTTCATGTCTCGGAAGCGTATAGCATTGTGGCTCTAATTATAGTTTTGTATACTCTTATTTTTGTATTACGAGATATATATTTGGCCCTTAGCTCAATAAATTGGTTTCTTAAAGTCTCTCCTCCATATTTTAAGTTCTCTAACACAATGCCGCTCTCCCTTGGGATTTTTAATTTTTCATATCTTTTATTATTTTTACAATTTCTTTTCTTGTGGACTTTGATATTTCTTCTTTTA